ATATATAAATAAATATAAATATAAATATAGCGAATATTCAGCTGCATCTTTCTATCGTACAACAACACGTGTCCATTGATAAGCGTCTGTCTGCATCTTTCTTTACGTCCTTCTGTTTCTGTTGTCGCATTTTCTGCTTCTCCACTGCCTACTACTTCATCTTACACTTTGTAAACGCGTTCCATACGAATACTATTATGTATCACTAATTACAGACACACCTGCGTCCTCCTTGCGCGGATCTATCACGTGCCCACTCTCCGATGCTTCGTCCCTGTCTGGCTCAGTCTGGCTGTCGGTAGCCATACCGCCATCGCCACTGCCTACCTCCTCCGCATACCTAGTATCCTGCAGGCTTTTGGGACTCCTGGGCGTGCCTCTCCCAAGCTCAAGCTCGCTGCGTAGCGCACTGGCCCCATGTCTACCCACACCATCCATACCTACGCTATTTACACCTACACTGCTCCCACCGGGGCTGTCGTTCGAGGGGTACCGAACATTTCCCCGGTGCTTGCCCTCAACGCTGGCCTCAGACATAGTCCGTCCGGGCATGCCAAAGTCAGAGTGGGTGTGTGTGGAGATGCTGCCTGTACTCTTTTTACGATTTCTGGTACTAAAGGGGGTGTGGTAGGGCAAAGGGATACGAGAGAAGGGAAAGAAACAGTTATTAAAAGGTCATAGGATACCGAATCTGGGTCTCAAGACGCAACTGAGGTAACAGAATTGAAAGATATAAAGAAACTTTAGATGTATATACGCATAGATGATATACGTGTACATATATTTCAATAATGTAGAAAAAAATATATTTGCATAATATACATATGCATATATATATTTACATATATATATATATATATATATAAGAATACATATGAAATACTCTCTACAGATACGTGCCTTTGACTCTTGGAAAGCCCCAAGGAATCTGCGCTTTGATGCTCCTTCCCAGTCAGCACTGCGATAGAAGTAATGTTTTGAAGTGGTGTGGAGTATTGAAATCAATAACAGGCGCAACAGAACATTTTAAGAACTCTCAACCATACGCGTAGCGCATGAAAAGTTATGTTTTGCTACATCTAAATACGAATCATCACTTACCGCTGTTACCGATAGCACCGTGCCGTTAAACGGATTCCAACATAAATTCTAAACCCCTCAACCCTAAATCCACTATTGCAGTTCAAACTACAATCATACTGACATAAACATAAACATGAACACAATCATGTATACATAAATAAAAGAAAGAGAACATAAACACTCACACCAACTGGTATACGATTCAATTCATACAGATCCATGTAAATTCTCATTACAATATTTGCAAACGTGTGTGTTCGTACATCTACTACCGACTGGTATCATATTATACTACCATCGCCGATAACGTGTACCGGGAGGGAGATCAGCCGTTACTACATTCTCAACTACAATCACGAACATATATATGTTATCAGAGACATGCTCACACATATATCGAACAGACGCACACAAACATATATATATATATATAAATAGAAATAAACAGTAAAAGAATACATCTTATAATATTTTAATATATTCACACACACATACACACATACACACACATACATACATACACATATATTTACACACAGGCAGACTCACATATACATATAAACACACACACAAGTGACCTACAGTTGCCAGTGTCAATTCCAAGAGACACGAGTGTGCGGCGATGTTCCAGTGCTCTGCGTGGGGCTGTCTGCATACGTGGACGAGTATCCACAGCCGCAGTGGTTACGCGTCGTTTGCTCTCTTTTGCATTGGCGTTGAGACCTGCAAATTATGAATCATGTGCAAGTTGTAGACTTATAAATGAAATATGCAATCAATATATATATATATATATGTATGTAAATAAAAATATA